GTTTTGTAGCATTTTAAATTCTAGTACAATGAAGAGGAAGTTTGACGTTGTGATTCGCGTTGACTTTTGATATTTTTTTTGCTGGCGGTATCACGCATTTTCTTCCATATAAAGTAAATTTTTATATGAAGAAAAGTGCATAAGACCGTCCGAAAAAAAATTATAAAAAATCAACGCGATTTCTTAGCAGCTTTCAATTTATAATAAGCTATAAAAGTACATACCAAACATTTATTTAAAAATAAATAACAGAAAGAGCGAAAGAGACAGAAAGAGCGAAATAGAAAAAAGAGCGAAAGAGACAGAAAGAGCGAAATAGACAAAAAGAGCGAAAGAGACAGAAAGAGAGAGAGAGAGATAGAGAGATAGAGAGAAGAGACACAGAGGGGGAGAGAGGAGAGGGAATAATGAGGAAGAAATTTCTCTCAAACGTCGAGGTGTCATTTGCGCAGACATGCCATTAAGAAGCTGTTTGCCAATAAAATCCTATCGCGGTTACGAAGATGCTCAAAATTTTTGTTCAACCGTTAGATAAGTGGCATTTTGTCACTTGATCATGCTATTCCATAGGCAGGATTATAAGGATATTCTAGCACGGAATTTAATATATGGACTTGACCGTACATTTTCTTGGCTAATATTTCATGCTGTTACAATCCAATTGCTTTCACATTTCTTATATTCGAAATCCACTTAAAAATAAAGTATTCATGATGTCCTTCACGAAAAATTGGCACATTTCCGCAATACCAAATTTTCCAACTCAACTGCCGTAAATTATAATCAGTGCATTTACCGTCACATGGCATATATGCTATCACAATGCCAAAAAGTATGCTTCACAAATTTGCTGTCACATATAAATTCAAATTGTTTTCAATTCCGCGGCCACGCGCCTTTCAGCGTTTCCACAAATCATCGCGGTGCTAATGTAAAAAAAAGAGAATTTGCCATCACAGAAAATAAAACAAAAAAAAGTGGCAAAAAACTCGCCTGACAGTTTTATGCTGCACGTTTACTACCTAAAAGTATGCCTTTCAAAAGTGTTTTCTTACGCCGCTCGGCAATAAAATACTGCTACATATTTTTTTTTGTGTATGTTCGTATGTATAAGTGTTCCGAATGTGAGTGTGTCTGTGTGCGGAAGTAAAACTACACTTTCGCATCATAAATCAGGCAGTAAGAAGTGAGTGAAAATTTTCTTTCTCAAGTTTAAAAAGAAAAAATGCGGGAAAACAAAAGCAAAGAGAAAAGAAAGAAAGCAAAATGTGGTTGGGGCAGTTAAAAGCAAAAATCAGGAAAGATAAGGCAGGAACAGCCATTTTGTGCAACAATAAAACGCTTACACACGCGCCAAGCCGTGCCTTAAGGTATGCATTGTGTGCTCAAAGTAAACAGAATTAAGCGGAGAAGTGCCGAAGCGCGTGCCGTTTGCGCCCGCAAGTAGAGCCGAGCAAACAGTCTGCCGGCATTTTCAATGCCATAAATCAATGTGGCTGAGTTGAGGCAAGCCATGCGAGAAGAAACCCAAAAGAAAAGGACTAGACAAAGACGCAGATGATGAAGTAGTAGATGAGTGAAACTTTCTTTTGTGCGTATTGCGTTCAGTCCAGGCATGTCGTGCGCGCAAAAATTTAAAAAGGAGCGTCCGTGTGCCGCCGTTGCTGACTTTCAGCCTGCTTGTATGCGCGCCACCGCATTTGTTTACTACCGACCTCGCTGTCCTTCCCTGCCTTTCATTTAAAGTTTCTCCGGAATTGTGCCCGATGTTTTTTTTTTTGGTTTGAGGCTTTTCTTTACATTTTAATTGAAAAATTCATGCGCCATTTAATTAATTTAATCGCGGAAATTATGTACAGTGTTGCCTACTTTTAGGCGCCCAGCAGCATAGACTTTCAGTCTACAGACAAGTGAACTGCTTTTAATGAGGCTTTTATATACGTTTAACGTTTACTTTGAAAGAAATATTTATTCACTTTATCTCTCGCATTCTCTTTGTCGCTTTGGCGGCGCTCCTGTTTCCGTTGCTTTGTGGCTTTAGCCGCCGAACTTGCGGCTGACCCAGTTTTGTAGGCAGCGCTGCTTGCGGCCACTAAGGGTAGTCGAAGACACAGTTAAGTGAAAGTGGCAAACGGCAGAGCTTTTGTAGTTAATGGAAGAAGGTGTTTACTGTGGATTTACACTCAAATGGTCAGCCAGCAGACAAGTTAACAAAAAAAAAAATACTGAAAAAACGCGCGTGAGAAAGGTAAAATAAAATACCGTTGTCAGTCAACTTTGCTTTCTACTTAGCCGCATATTTTTGCGGTTTGTTTGCAGGGATTTATACGATAAGCGCTTGTCGGCACTTAGTAAACTCAAAGGACTGCAAAAGGGTTAGCTTTTAAGCAACACTCCTTTGCCTAGACACCCTAATAAATCACCTTAACTTACTTTCATTTTTTTTCCTTTTTTTTGTCATCCCTTTCAGCTGGGCTGTCTCCACTGTCATGACGCGCGAGAATATGATTCCACGCTCTCGTCCACTTAATGCTGCCACCGCCAATGGCGACGATACTAGTCAAGACCAACCTGATAACATTGCTGCGCTCATACCCTTTTGGGATATGGCAAATCATCGTCAAGGACGTGTAACTTCGTTCTTCAATGTTGGCACACAGGAGATGGAGAGTGCCGCTCAGTCGGATTTCAAAGCTGGCGAGCAAATATTTATACACTACGGTGATCGTGCCAATGCTGATCTGATGATTCATAACGGGTAAGTGGAGTGAAATTGTATTTCTTTATACTCAATACTTGCACCTAATCCACATCGCCTCCAATTACGATCATTCACCTAATACATATTTAACCTAAAAGCGCTCTCAGCTGTACAAATTGAATGTAGAGAAAGTAGTAAATGGTACACGGAACGCTGATCTAACTGTTCGAAAGCTTTATGGAAACTTTTACCTCCTTAAAACTCTATTAATTTAGGCTGAAAGAACTGAGAGAAAAAATGATCAGCGTTTTTCTTGAGTTCACGTTTTTTTTGTTCCGAAAAAACTGGGCAAGATGCCTCGTAACTAACTGCGAATACGTGTATGAGTAGGTGTATTGAAAACACAGGCAATTACAGTTAGAACCACAATGAGACCTTCAGGTATGCAATAGAAAACAAATTTAGTACTCCACCTAGTTGGAAAAGATATTCTTGAACAGAAAAGGTTTTGAAAAGGAATGTGATAAGGCAGTACGGTACAAAAAATACATAAATACATAATAGTAGTAACACCCTAAGCCAAGACAGAGGTCGGGAAAATGCCACGATAACTGGACGTTGGCCCATTGGCGAATAAAAAAGAAAATTATTGAGGTCCGCCTTGAAACTCGATGTGATTGTTGATCTCAGAATTTATTGACATAAAAGTGTAATTAGATTTTGTGAGATAAATTTTCCATGCTAGAAATACACTCGAAGAACTGCCATTGCCTGTCAAAAGGCGAAAAAATTTTCTTGTTTGAAGTTGCCTATCGAGGTCGGTGGTGGACCTTTGGGCTACCGTGCATTAGATAATAAAAACCCAATTCTAGCATAACGAACGCTTGAGATCTTAAAGAAACCCCTGCATGGGGTAAACCACTGGAGAGAAATCGCCACTAAATCTCCACAGTGTACTATTTATATAGCTCTCAAAATCGGCGAAGGCCATGTCAATAACCGTAGTATAGTATTCAATGCAAAAATCTACTTCACCAATTTGTGGATTTTTTAACCGTCCACAGAGTGGCAGTCTAAGAGGGGATTCGAGCATCGTTTTCACAGTAGTTCATACTGTTCTTTCTGTGGTTTGACGAACGTTATACTCGGTGAATGCGGAAAGTTTATTGGAAGCCACAATTTTGATCGCCATTTCCCACTAATCCAAGCGATATAAAGCGTCCAATTTGTGGATATTTGCGAAAACTCCCCTCGCTCTTATTTCGTCCCAACTTCATTGTACACGCAGAGCTTTTGGTTGCGCATCTTCCCACTACTTCATTGCACCAAAATCATCAGCTTAACTTAGCAATTTTTTTTATAAACAACACCACTCTTTCTCTATATCTTTATTTCTCCCTCTCTCCGCCACACACACCAACACACAGCTTTATCAACCCCACCAATCCGAAGGATTATATCTGCATCAAACTCGGTCTGGGCACTTCGGATCCGCTCTTCGAGCAACGCGCCAAACTACTTCTGCTCATGCAGATAACAAAGAATACCGACTTGAAAGTATTGCCTCCGCCCACCTACATATCACCTCAGTTGCTGGCATTCGTGCGCGTTTTCAACATGAACGCACAGCAGCTGGAACACTGGATTACCTCCGAACGTGCCATGGATCTGTTGCATATCGACTGCGCGCTCGAGACAACGCTCGAATCGAAGACATGGCAGTACTTGCAGACACGTCTAATGCTGTTGCTGCGCGTCTTTCCCACCACGCTGGAGGCGGACGAGGAGCAGCTGGCTGCATACAAGAAAGGCGAGTTGTATTTCTGCTACGTGGAGGCGATGGTGCTGGAGTATCGCGTGTTGGAGAAGCGTATACTAGCAGCGGCGCTCGAATATGCTCGTCAGCGTGTCAAAGCTTAGGCGATGGCACGTTGCGAGGAAGGAAAGGAGAGGAGAGGCGTCGATGACAAAGCGATAAGGAGGCAAACGCGGAAATAACAGCATGCTTTTGAATGTGTGGAACAAATGGAATTTGTGCAAACTAGCCGTGGCCATTGAAACTTATAATGCTCAGCAATACAAACAACAATTATGTTTAAGTTTTTTTTTCTGAAAATTAAATTGTTTCAATTTAGTTTTTTTTTTTTTAAATAAGCTCCTTTAACATACTATGACATGTTTTAGC